TCAACCTAATATCATTGCTATTTATAACATATACGTATACACTCAACCTAATATCATTGCTATTCATAACATATACGTATACACTCAACTTAATATCATTGCTATTTATAACATATACGTATACACTCAACCTAATATCATTGCTATTTATAACATATACGTATACACTCAACCTAATATCATTGCTATTCATAACATATACGTATACACTCAACTTAATATCATTGCTATTTATAACATATACGTATGCACTCAATCTCTTTACTGAATTGACACAAATTAGTTGTATAGTACAAATATGCAATATTTCTAATTTCCACGATTTTGAGAGAGTAGTAAGTCAAAGGGTAATCTTGGTGTATCATCCACACTTTGGTTAAACAGATAAAGATTAAAGTCATTCACCAAACCTGTTAAACCATAAGGTATTGTTGCTGATCAAAACTTTGGTGTTGCACTTTTTGAAAATTCGGGAGGTAAATATATACTAAGATCATTGTATAAATGTTTCTCATAGCTTTATTATTTTACGTTTCTTTGGTGTGTTTTTGTCGTTTTTGTCGTTTCATTCAGAACTTATCGTAAGAACTACTTCCTGGATCGTAAGAATTTCCGTAGGGTACATTTTGCTGTTCATATAAGATTTTTGCCAGTTAAAAGTAGATTAATGAGACTCTGCAAGGCACCACATTTGGTTGACAGCCAATCTGATATGTCACTCACAAACTGACAGGCATAAGATGTATATAATATCAATTAAATAAGGTAAGTAAATTATCACATTCTATAAGTCTGGGAGAAAAACCTAAAATATTTTCCTGTCCCTTTATTTTCTTACTTGCAACAAAAAACAATTGGACAAACAGAAACTCGAATATTCGCTCATACTTAATAATGAGTAGTTTGTTGTTGAATACCTTGGCTGATTTCATCCTTCAATGCTTGTTTCAAGTCTTATCTTATAAACTATAAGCTTTTTGCTAACCTAGCAACAAACCTAGCAAACGAACATACAACAAACAGATTAAAACAGATACATTTTCAAAGCTTCATTTGCATAAACATGATCTACTATCTCGCGAAGTAATTAAAAGTGTTTTGACAACTAGACTGAGTAAGTCACATTCAAAATATTTGACAATGTCAGTTTATGTTGTTGATTTTTGTGAAAAGTTGGTGATCAACATTTTAATTAGATTTAAAAAAAATCACTAAATCTGCCCTATTTCATCTACATATCCAAAAGTCTCCTGGTGGATCAGCGGTAAGTTTACGAACCAAGAACGTTAAAAACTCAAATATAGACTTAGCCTTTATTAGGATCGGGGTGATAAATGTGATCAGAAAGAAAACAGAACATTAATTTTACCCTCTCCGGGACACACCTAATTATTAGCCTGGCTGATGTGATATTAGGTTGATAGATCCGAGTTATTCCATTTACATCCATTCTAAAAACAAATTAATTCGTACATCGCAAAAAGAAGGACACAAAATATGGAATTTGTCGTCGTTTTCAATAAATAGAGATTTAAAACAAAACACTTAACCTGCCTAAAGTTTTGTCACCAAATTCAGAGTCACTTCAGAAATCTCACTCTGGATGAACGTATGTTTATGTGTGTCACGAAAAGCCAACTACTAGTAGGACTAGTTTTTGACTCACTTTGATTGAATACAAAATTGCAAACTAGTGCACTACCTTTATATTTACACATTTCTATCGATTTACTTCCAGTGATTTCTGTGAATCACTAACTACTATGAGTATATTAATCATTATTTGTGAGCTGGTAAGCAAGTAATATTACGTCTTCATATTACTAAAAACTGTCAAATGTTTCAATAAAAAAGCTTAACAAAATAGATTCGTTAAACAATTCCTAGTGTTCCCTTCTTTGTGATTTTTTGAGAAGTTCTGTCATCTAAAGCGTATTTTCGTTATTTGATATTTTAATATAAACGTATATTTATTATAAATAAGAACTTCAGAGTGAAAGTAAAAAAAAGGTGTAATAACAGACCAATCACGCTACATCTGCTTTAATCAGTACCAAAGAAACCTTTGGTCCAGTATCAGGGCTTTTTGAGACTCTCTTTATAGATGTATTAGCAACTTGCTTGCCAATAAATGTTACGGTGTGAACTGCAGTACTTTTTTTCGTCTATTTTTATTTATATCACAACACATCAGAATTATGCTAAGGAACTTGAACACCACTTTATTTATTTAATTCAACAACACATGTTGTTAATTATCATAACATAGATATAAAGCGATAAAATTATTTGAAAAAATCAAAATTTTAACTCTGCAATTAAAACTGTCGATATAACGGTTCACTAAAATGTATTTTTAATACTAACTTTAAGAAAGTGTATCTCATTGAAATTTACTAAATCTAACTTTCACATCTCTAATAACAAGCCACATATATATATAAATCTTATTTATATTGGTCCAACAACGTGTATGAAGACATTCGGCAAAATGAAAATAATAAAAGGTATAAAAAGGTAACTTTTATAATATTTATAAACAGTTCGCATTTTTTTCCGGTTAACATTGCACCCGTTTTTTTTTACATTGTGAATAACTGCTGTAAACTGTAATAATTTACTTAGGTTTTTATTCTCCTGATGAGATGTTGGTTTATATATTTTTTTCATAATTCATGGAAAGTTGCGACTGTTGGAAACTTTATTCAGACAAGCAGATGGCAGTATCCTACCTGAAGACTGGATGTTAAACATGTCCGAGAAAGAAACATAAATTGAAAAGCAGGTTAAAACAAAAAGATATACCAAAAAATGCACCTTAACATATAAACTATTAAAGTAGTGTCCCTCTTTAGTCAGTTTATCCTTTTAACATCCTGTTCGACGACACTTACTCAACCTCTTTTTTCCCATCTTCTGTCATTGTCACTTAACACAAAGAGCGGACGAAAAAGAAACCCATGTTCTACTCCATTGAAACCGGGGTTCTTCATTCTGTTAAAATCTTATTCCTTTTCAATGCCACTCTTGGCTGCTTTTTTATCGTGAATAGCATCCCATTCGACAACAGATCTTTCAGTATTAGGCTATAACAGTCGATATCCAGTGGAGGTAATTTAGATTTTTTTCTTTCTCAGTAAAATAGTAGTTATTCAAATGTGTGTCTTTAAGATAGACAAAAAGTGCAACTGCTAATTCTATTAACATCAACTGAGCTTTATGTGAGGAACAAGAAAAATTCACTTGTGTAAAAATTGACTTTCAAATCTCTAAGCATGATTTATTATTTAGAAATATAAAAATTCACAATATTTATAAGGTGACAACAACAGACAGAACGGTAAGAAATTCCGATTTAAAACTATAATAAATTTAATAAAACTAAATGCTCGATATATCAAAAAGTCATTTATTTAAACCTGAAAAAATATCTGGAAATTTAGTTTTCTTAACTTACATTCTGAAAGTAGCACTGGCAGTCCGAATATCAAAATATCCGTAGCAATAAAGTAAACAAATAAGAAATGCCTGTAGATTGAAATCAAACAGTAGTTACACCTAAAAATGTGTTTCTGATGGCATACTAAAAATATAATTTCTAATTTGCGTAAATAATTTCTACAAGTTTCTCTGAAATAAGTAAAATTATATATAATTTGGATAATGACAGGTTTATTCTGGAAAGTAAAAGATTAGTTTCAGAGGTTAAACATCACGCTTGTTGATTTGGCGAAGGAGTTTTGCTTGTGTCATTTTGGAAGAATGTAAGTAAGTAGTAAAGTACAAATAAAACTGAATTAAACACTATCGCAGAAAAAGGATAAAAAGTTAAAACAGTCTAAAATGGGATGATAGAATATCACAGCCACAAAAAAGAATTATAATAAAGCAACGAAGAAGACGAAGCTAATATAAAGAATCTTCAAAATATAAAGAATTAAGTATCTTACAACAACGGTATAAAAAAAGTTCCTAGAACAAAATGAACACGTGTATACAAATTTTGTATATATAATAAAGAAGCCAAGAATTGGGATATCAAATATAGCAGCCTAAGATTGGCTACATCAGTCAAGAACATCAATAGAGAAATAAACTGCTAAAAAATTAAAAACTCAGAATAGGAATAGAGGAGCCCAGAACGTGGGTATGTAATAAAGTAACAAAACATAGAGTACAAAATAAATCAACCCAGCAGTGGAATATGGAATTAAGGGGTTTATAACAAAAGTATGAAAAAATACACAAACTAACATAAAGATATGGAATAATTAGCTTTAAACAAGGCTTATGTTAAAACATCCTTGAAAAGAGATACAGAATAGATTAGCCCATAACAAGAGCATATTGCAATATACAAAAGATATAGAAAATATGGTAGTTTTAAATAAAGAATTTAAAACAATGTAATCCAAACATAAAAAATAAGTAGCTCTAATAAATGGATTAGAATGAAACAGCTCAGAACAATGTCACACGGTGACGCAACATAAAGATGGTTTTAAAATAAAGTAGTTTTAAAATGCTTGATCATTAAAATAAGTTGACTATAAATACAGAGGTTGATTATGTTATATTAAAATGATTTTGGAGTTTCACCAAGTTGTTTCAGTCCATGTAGCTACATTCGGCCATGCTCTGTCAAGAAGACAGTGCATACTGATGATAGTCCTGCAGCGTAGATTTCATCCGGCCACACAGCTGTAATATCCAAAGCCAGTCATTCTTCCCTGATTACTTTCTATAATCCATCTAGTGTATGCTTCAATAATCCGATTGTACAAAATCCATACGTGACTTGACCGGTGTATCTTCTTAAGGAATAACATGAATAACCGTTTCATTCTCCATCTGCTTGAGATATACGACGATTGAAAGGAAATTATGAGTGGAAGCCTTATCTTGGTGAACCTGTACCATGTTGGCCTCGTTTCCACACGAATATAATTGTGATTATGTTGCATAGTGTTTCAAGTGGCACGTGGAAGGCTTTTATTAACCTTTGTGGATTCTCACACGTACAAGACGCCGCACTTTGGTTACTACGGCTTGGGTACGACTTGTTGCAGGTCTTTTTCTTGATGGTTCGGTGAGCCCAAGTTGATCCATTTTTCGTTGTTTTCTAAATTCCATTAAATACAAGTCTTGAAAATTCTAAATTGTTGATATGTACACTACTTAGATTTGAGTGTATGAATATTTTGTAGTTTTAGTATTGGTAATAGTTGTCATATGAACTTGCTGATTTGAATATTCAAAATCGTTTTAATATAACGTATTCAACCCTCTATATGAGATAGATATATTGTGGCATTCAATCATATAATTTGGTTACGTCGAGAAACAAATTGTATGAAAAGGATTAAAAATTCAAAACACTCCTCTCATACAAAAAATGCTTTAACTCTCAATCTATATAATATCCATATATGAAAATAGAGATCAAAAAGGTATTTAAGATAAAGAATATTCTATTAGAATTACTTGGTGTTTGAATAAAAACAAACAGCAGTTTATCTTAAATTGTTGCTTAATGAAACCATTGACATTCGGTTATTGCAAAATAATTTGTAGTTTACATTTTGTGCAAACTACTAGAGATCTTCAGAATTGTCAAATATGAAAATGTTTGATATATCTGATTTAAAACCATGAAATTCCTTCATTTATCTTAAATATTACATTAGTATTTAGGAAATTATAACTGACACTAGCACACTGGTTTCTAAAATTTAAAATCAGATGGGTAATTTTTAGTGATGTCTAAGATCATGAAAGTAAAACATCAGAATATCTCAATGTATTACTAATATTGTGGATTTGAAAATAAAAAGTCTTACATACAGATTCTAATAATAGAAGATATATACAGTTTTGATATGTTTGGACAATCATTCTCATTCATAAAAATAGTTTTTCCTTTGCACAGTTATAAAAAGTATCTTTGTTTGTTTGTTTTTAATTATGCACAAAGCTACACAAGGGCTATCTGTGCTCTGCCCACCACGGGTATCGAAACCCGGATTCTAGCGTTGTAAGTCCGCAGACATACCGCTGTGCCACTGGGGGGCAAAAGTGTCTTTAATGCAGAATTTTGCAGGACAACATTAGCGATGGTTAGCTTAAACATTTAATTTATTACCAATATGCTTAGATATTTATCAAACAGTTTCGAAAAAAACAGTTTACTTGCTGAAGAAAATGTATACAAAACCTGTTTGATATATATATATATATATATACTCTTCATTACAAAATAACTACTTTATTATTCTACGCTTTGTACCCAGGCTCACATAAAACACAACTGAAAAGTTTTTGTTTTTTGTGTTTGATCACAAAGGTAAATAACTGCCACCTGTATTTTGCCCATCGCAGTTATCGAAACCCGATTTTTAGTGTTATAAGCCGTCAGATTCACTGCTGAGCCCAGGGGGCACAAATGAAATGAACTGGAAATATCTGATAAGAACTGAGAGTTGAATCTTAACGTAATAAAATACTTTTTGTCAATTTTATCTATTTAGAAGAACAGTATCCGATCTAAAATGTTCATTATGAGGTAATATATTGAATATAAAACTACTGTTTAAGGAAGTGTAGAATTACTTGTTGGAATATAAGAAGGCTGATTTAAATATTCTATAGCATTATTATTAAACCAATGATTCAACATGTTTTGAAGAAATTACATTACAAAATCACTGTAAAGAATCAAGCAGTGTATCACGTATTTTACGAATATCTACATTATTTTTTCAAATACGTAATCTATAAAACCGTTTCCGGATAAATATATATGATAAACTAACTATTTATAAACCTTCTAAACTTACCATCATTGTCTCATACATTATGAAAAATTGTTTATTCATACATATATTTGTTTTAAAGCAAGGTAAATTAACACTCATTTCTGTTGGTTAAGATAATAGCTTCTTTTATCGAATTTTACATTTGATTAACCTATAGTGTTATAATGTCACATTTTTATCTTTCTTAGTGATTTTTTTTCTTCGTCTTGAATCATTCTTGATGGTTTAAAACATAAAAGCCGAAACAAAGTTCAAGAATCTTGACAGAACAGTGTTGCCGATCCTTCTGTTTCAGAGTACAGAGACGTCATTATTTACTGGTGTGCTGACTTCCGTTAAAAGCTGGTGTAAAAGCAAATGACGTGAATTAATAAAAAAGAAAGAGGATGCAAGAGAACAGTAGAAGCTTTGTAACACCAAAACGTGTGTATCCACTAAGTTGCAATACTTGTAAACGTATATATTCGTAAAGCTTGTTGGCTCCTTAACTGGCTTGCTGGGCGAGGTAAATTTGACTAGTCTAGCCAACCTGCACTTCATATCAAACCTGTAGAAGCCTGAATTAAAGAAGCAGTTTTTAGTCACCATATGTCGAAAAGAAACAGGAGGCGCACATGCACACAAGCTTCTCTTTCAACCTAAAATTAAACGCAAATTCATGTTCTACTTTAGTGCCACTCAGGAAGTAGGCAATAACATAGTAATGATCCTTAAATAAAATTCAAAATTACAGGGCTGACGGTGGGTGGTCCTAAAAAGAACTGAACCGACAGTGCCGGCTAAATATTTCCTGTGGGAATATTCTGTTGTTTACTTGACATGTTTGTCAAACGTCACACGTTACTGCAAATATACATATATTTAGCCTTATGTCGTAGTAGTAACAGACTTACTACATCTATCTCCATTAAATACACAATCTCTTTTGGGAGATTTCAGATCTTTAAAATACAATTTCTCGGAAAATGGTATCAGGACAACAAGTAAAAAAGTCTCGAGATAATCCACCTCATGAGAAATATATTTGAGTCTCAGAAAAATAGTTTATTCTGTCCTGAAAAATGTATTACCCTATAGTTGCGTAATCAGTGAATCACAATAACATTGTATGTGCTCAAAGTGTTATCAATGCATGTATGAAATTTTCAACAAATGGCATTCCCACTTTCTTATACAGATCTTGAGTTAAAATCTAACATGTCGGGCTAAAGTTTATTTAAATTGATTGACTTCATTCGATATAAAATTGTTCACGTAAATAACCCCACATGAAAAAGTGTATGAAATCCTACAAATTAAGAAGCTTTGATATTTTGATTAAGTTATTCGCTCTGGATCATCTGGTCGTTTGAGAAAATTAGTTTGTAAACACTGTTAAGTACTTTATTTAGTGTTTAATTTCACTTTTGTTTTTATCCTAATTTAACCAGGGTTTGAAAAAAGATACAACTTATTCTATAAAATGTATCTTTATAGAATAATAATAACTTTTACTGCAATACGTATTTGAAAACGTGGTTGGGGTGATATTTTCATTCATAACAGATCATTATTTTGATGTTGTCTTAATTTATTTCAACAGATATTATCAAAACAAATACAGATATATTTTAGATTTTACAGCTAAACATTGCGAATTTTTCTGTAAACAAGGTACTTGAAAAATTTAAAGAGTTGGACGTGAAAATTGATGAATTTCATCAAAAATCTAAGTAAATATTTGTTCATGAAAAACATCCATGTATCAAAAATATGCATTGGAAATATTGTTAAAAACATCTTTGTAACTGTTTCTGTATAGATGTACATGAATTTAATTCCGTTGCTTCTCTGCACGGTTGTAACATGATATATTCCAAACCTAATAAAGTCAATTAGCTTTTGTTTTAAAAGAAAAAAATAGGTTTTAAACTTATGTGGGATTTTTTTTAAAGTAGTATAAATCAGTACATAGTATGAAAGAAGAATTTCGATAATAATTTTGATGTTTTGTGTTAACAAAAGCGTGTTTCATTTTACAAAGATATTGGTGAAAATGTGTACGTTTCGTCAAACCTGTTGGTAACTACAATTTATTATGAAATTTTTACGGTTTTTGTTCTAATAAACCTGCGAAAAGAAATGGTGTGTAAAAATAACAAAAAAAAGCGTTGTTTGTAGAGCAAAATTATCTTGAACTTTATTTTGATTTCAGTGTATATATATATATATATACATAGTATTGGAAATAATTATGGAATCAGTGAATAGAATGGCAGTCAAATGCCTTTGTAATTGACTCTCATCCGTCCTCCGGTGGGCCAGCGGTAAGTCTATCAAATTGCAATGCTAAAATTCGGGGTTCGATTTCCTGCGGTGGACATAGCAGATAGCCCACCGGGGCTTTTCTATAAAGCAAACAAAAAAAGACTGTCTTCCAATCAGTGTCACATCTGTAAAAAACTTATAAAAGTACAGGTAGTCAAACTATTCCCAGTAGTAGTGCGATGATTGAACTCATAGCTCTCAGGCCAGAAATGCCACATACCGACCGGGTAAAAATCAATGTTTAGGCAGATAAAGTCTGCTCTATGCGACGGATTCAGGAGAAATTTCATGTTTCAGTAGGATATACATGGAAACTTTGAAGAGCATATGTTTGGTGCAAAGATTTGTACATTTTCTGTAGCTTGTGTGATACCCTAACTTTTCTATTAGCAGTTTTCGCCTCTCTGATGAAACGCTGTTGCTCGAAACGTTGTATTCGTTAATAAAGTTATTTTTTATTTGGAGAGAGTTGCACTTTATTTGTTTTGTTCTATATCTCATCTGCTTTTTACACCATTTGCCATTTAAAGACTTTTGGAGAATTGCGGAAAATCTCTTTTATACCAAATCTGTAAATAGATAACACAGTTTATGATTTGAAGATTATTTTATTACTCAGTTTAAATGAGTTTTAAGGGTAGACCAACAAACAAACAAAGGGTTCAGCTCAAACTTTTGAGACACACGATGTCGGTGGCTCATCAAGAAGTTATTATAAATTACATGTTCAAACGTTTTTCCTGACTTTTTGTAATAGTCCCTCACTTCTGCATTAATCTTCTACCGCCCCTCTCTCTCTTCCCTTTTTTTTTTTTGTAGACATCTTAAGTTACGTTTTACGTGATCACTCTTCTTTTCACGCTCAACATCAACGGGATATTTATTTTCATGTTTTCTTTGAGAATGATAGAACTTATATTTTATGTTAATTATGTAATAACTTTTACCAAAAAAATTGTTTAATATCTTCAAAAAATTACAATTGTT